GCGGCCACCAGTGCTCGGTTGGACGTGGTCAGGCCCATGGGCAGCGCCAGGTGCGGAGCCGCGGCGGGAGCAGGGACCCCCCGCTCTGTCACTGCCTGTGACCTCCCTCCCTCCTGACTGAGGTGTCTGTCTCGTTATTTCTCCCTCACTGTGCTCCCCACGTCAGGATTGTGAGCCCAGAGCCCTGGGGCCCCAGTCCCTCCCTGCACCGCACAGGCAGCGCCCGCGTCGCCTCACCTGGGCAGGTGCAGTCTGTGTTTACAGTGAGGACGTGTCACTGTGTTACCAATTTCCTGAAATACTGACTATTGACAAACTAGACTGTAAAGATTTTTATGTGTTTGGATACATCTGCTATGTGAAAAAGCAACTAATTTTGTACATATTGTATTTTTACTATCCAGCTGTACAATACTGGCTCTTCATGCTCCAGAATTTAGGTATCCAACATGAATGATATCCATGTAATAAGCACTTGCCTGAAATAAATATAAAACTGAAATAAACATGCACTGAAATCCAAAACAGGATTCTGCATTTGCCTCCCTGTGCTTTGCATGCAGATACTTCACTGTCTTTGTGATTTCCCAGTTCCCTCCGGAGCCAGCGCTGCTGCCCCAGGTGTGTCTCGATCCGCGGGGCCGCAGCTCGGCAGGGCTGTGTGTGCGGATCAGCTGGTGCTGCCGTGGGGAGAGCGAAGTCTGTGCGGCCTCTGGAGTCTGAACACTCGGAAACAGGTGCCCTGGACCTGCCAGGAGCCCCTCGGGGTGTGCCAGGCCCTGGTGATGCCCGTCCGCGCCCGCGGCCCTCAGGTGAGGCTCGGGGGTGGTGCTGGGCACCCACCCTGGTGGGACTGCTGGGCAGCCAGGCCCACCTGGGGTCCTTCCTCACAGCGGGTGGGTGGGAGGTGTGCAGGGCACGGAGGGACGGGCAGCTAATAACCACCTGATTAGCAGCTGTAACGAGCAGTGGCTGAGGGATGGCTGTGCCCACCCCAGCACACAGCACACAGGCTTTGGTTGGGGTGTTTGACAGTGGAATGGGGAAATACTCCGTTTTTCCTCAGGGACCCACCTCCAGGTAGAGCTTTCCAGCCTGGAGTCCTGGAAAAATCACTGCAAAACCTGCCAGTAGCAGCAAAACAACCAAGTGTGACTGAGGGACTGTCCCTGCTGCAGAAGCAATGCAGGCAAAGGACTTCAGGAGGTGTGAGGGGGGACAGGGAGTGAGGGGGGAGGATCTCTCCTGGAACCCCAGTAGCTCAGCTGGATCTAATGCAGCTGCAGCATCCTCAGGCCTGAAATTACAGGATGAAACTTTGGCTTCCTACACCTGTCATAGGCCTAGTTTGGCCCTTGGGCTGGCTCAGGTTCAGCCAGTGGTGGTGGGTGCTCCTCACGTGTCACCTGATGTTGTCTAAGGGACCTCAGGAGGCCATTTAGTGATGACCTACTTACTGTCTTTAGCTCTACAGCTTATCAGAAAAGCATTAATTACATCTTGCTCTCTCTTCGCAGACAGCCTCATCCTCAAGACTCCCCGTTCCAGTGCTGACATCACCTTGGGCACAGAGCAATCACTTCAGGAGCTCCACGGGATGCCTTGACGATAAGTATTTATTTGTATGGTACATTTAAACATAAATAATAGAGCACTAAAGAGAATAGTCTGATCCCAACAAAAATAAATCATACACAACATTGATAAAATCCAGTCAGACAGGATGTGCTAACAGCTAGAGCAAGGCTGCAGGCTGGGTCCTGTGGAACAGCTGTACAGAACATTCCCAACGTACCAGAGGAACATAGTGCATCGCTCCTCGGGCTCTGAGAGGTGGAGGTTTTCTTGTTCTTCTCTCTGGTTTGGTTTCACAGTGCCCAGACACAGCTGAAGCAGCCGGTTGACCAGCCACGGCAGCTGGCACAGCTCCGTGCCCTGTGCCCAGGGCTGGCAGCACAGACTGTCAGAGCTCTCCTCTCCCACTGTGCCTGTTTTAGGGGTTCCTTCCCAGCAGCACCGGGCACAGGGCTGTGGGCTCAGCTGGTCCTCAGCCCAGACCACAACCACTCACAGCTTCGGCTGGGGGGGTTTAAGGGAGGCCTTGGCTATTGAGCTGAGCACTTGGGGTCCAGTTCTTCCCCCTGGGGACTGTTTTTTACCATTTTCAGTTTGCTGCCAGCACAGAGCAGAGCACGAGGGTGCCCAGGAGTCAGGCAACAATCAGGCTAGGTTACTACAGCAAAGCCCTCTCCTCAGTATTGGAATCATCGAACAATGACTTTAGTCCTTACACCCTTTTTTTGCTAAAATCTGATTTTTAAAGGCTCCTGTGAGCAAATCTAAGTCATGTAACCTCTGAACAGCCTGGTTTGGTGGAAAGTGTCCCTGCCCATGGCAGAGGTTGGACTGGGTGACCCGTGAGGTCCCTTCCAGCCCACATCATGTCATGAAAAGTACACAGAAGTTTTCTATGGAAATGCAACCATGTAACTCTGTCTGCTCTGAAGGATAAGAAAACCCACAAAAAAAGCAGAAACACAAAAACTCAGATTCAAAGTCAGAGTTGGTTTTTTTTTAAAATCACTAAGGCTCTAATAGCAAAGGGTGAACACTCTGGACTACTTGAAGTGCTTAAGCTAAATCCCAAGGTTTTCCAGGAGCACAGGTCACAAGTCTCCATGGAACCTGCAGCTGACTCCATAAGCAAGAACCTGCTCCCTCCTTCCCTCTCACCGACCCAGAGATACATTTTGCTTAGCAACAACATGCACCTGGGGACAGCGGTGTGATGAAGAGGAGGCCAGAGGAGGCCAGAGGCCCAGGCAGGAGCACAGCTCCCAGGCAGGAGCACAGCTCCCTGCCAGCCCCATCCCTCGGAGCCCCTGCAGCAATTCCAGCTGCTGCTGCAGGAGCCAGTCCAGCCACGGGGGTTGGGTGTTGGAGCCAACGAGATCGGCACTGTGCACGTGAACTGGGTCACTTCTCCCATTCTCCCAGCCAGGAACCTTATCTTTAATTGCTGCTGAACACAAACCCAGTATTTTAGCAACAGGAGCTCAGACACATTCTCTTCCATGTTCAGGGCAAAGACAGTGAGTCCAGGACTGTGCTCTACCAAGGACCCAGCTCAGTGTTCGTGACGTTGGACCTGGCCTCGCCTCCGTGGAGGTTCTGGCAGCACACACAACATGCATCCAGGCTTTAAAGGTGCAGTAAGTCAAAGTAGAAATGTTCCAGTGTGTCAAATCCCCCTTTTAACATCCAAAGATGTAGACAGATGTTTTCTAGAGAGGGAAGTAGAGAATGCAAAAAGATTTTGTCTAGAAGTACAAAGTGAGTGTAACAAGGACTTCAAACACCAACCTCATCTGATTTTAAAAGTCTGTTACAAATCTCCTCACAATTTATTACATTACATGGAAGATGCAGTTAAAACACCAGTTGGAATTACAGTGCAAGGAATGCTCCGTTGGTGGCTCACAGCGCGGCCTGGGACAGGCTGCGATGGTCACTTGTTCTCAATCAGGGTCTGCACTTTGTACACAAGGTCTCTGGCTATCCTGAGAACCTCCGCGGCATCGTGGTGCTCAGCCATCTCTGAAAGACATAGACAAACCCTCAGTGCCAGAGCTTTCCTGCCCTGGCACTAAGCAGTGAGTGCAGTGAGCAGCAGTCTTGGCGTGGCAGGGGGTTGTGTCTGGAGAGTTAAAGACAGGAGTGGATGACTCCCTCGAGCTGCAGATCCTGGCACGGAGATCTGATCCTTCTGGTGTCAGTTCTCTCGCTGCAGAGAGCCCAAGCTTTGGAATAAGTATGGCTGAGGCACAAACAACACCAAATTTGGGGCTTCTGCAACAGATGGCTGAAAGCCACAGCACTGAATGTGGTGAATGACTGTGATTACGGATTGTTTCCAAGTCTTTCAAACACCCTGACAGGGAGCCCTGGCTCAGGACTAGCTTCCCTGTGCTAGGAGACCTTGCTCTGGCAGGACACTCCCTGCTCCAGCAGTGAGCGTTGGCTGGTCTACAGCTTCTCCAGCACCCTCCCATGAAAGTGGCTTGGGATGTTCTGCAGGAACAGCTGTTGGCCTGTTCCAGCCTCAGCAGGGTCGAAGTCACCAGTGCCACTAACAAGCAGCCACCAGCTGTGGCCCAGGCAGCTCGGGAAACACTGGCGTTTGTGGGTGCAGAGCAGAGCTTCAGCATGCACAGAACACCTGGGCTGCTCGTGGGCACACGGTGGGAGGTGGCAGGGGCTTGTCACAACAACAAGCTCTGCACCAAAGAGAGAAGGAGCAAAATCTCATTACTTATCAAAATGGCTCTGAAAAAAATCCCTTACCATTAAAAAACTTGATGATATCAGTGAAGTCCATGTTGTTATCACGGATAATCTCTCGATAAACTTCCACAAGTGCTAAGGCAATGAAAAGGACAAAATGTTCTGAAGAGATGTGCTTTGCTGCCCAAATAACTTCCCACACTGTAAATACATCCTCGTACAACAATTCTGAATGGGAATAAACATTACAAGAGCATCTGATTATTCAAACTGACCATGTCTCCCAGTCTCACTACTGTCTACAGGCCTTAACACAGACATGAACAGACCCTGACGACTCCTCCTTTCCCTCTCCCCTCTCCTCAGCCAACCCCTGGCACTTGTGCACCTGAGGCACAGAGTTGGGTTCCAAGGACAACTGCCAAGGCCTGGAGCTGTGGTGGTGCAGCCCAAGCTTACAGAGGAGTGGGATCATCTTGGCATCACCTTCTTGAGCAAACAGGCATTTGCGCTGGGCAGAAACTTGGTCCCAGCCGCATTATCAGGAATTTACAACACCCCTTTCTAGGCCTGGACTCCATTACAGTGCTGTTTCACCTCAGAGCTGAATTAGCTTTCCTAGCTACAGATATGGTGAGCCCAGCTGCCACTCACCATCCTGACAGACATCCACATCAACACACAGAGCTGTTACAGTTCTACACAACTCTAAACTACAGGCACAGAACATTATTACCTCGTTTAAAGTCCAGCAGGAACCAGCGGTAGCAGAAGTAAAAGTGAGTGTAATCTCCATTCTGGTGCATCAATTCAAAAAGCTCTGAGTCCAGAATCTAGAATGGAAACAACATCTGTCAGGATCTGCTCTGAGAGGTGCCAGGGTCAGAGGTGTTGGAGTCTGGTTAAAACACCCACCCTGCCCCTGGGGTCAGAGCAGGGTACAGCCTTCTGCCCTGTGTGTGCCCACCCCCCTGCCCTGGGTGCCCTGGCAGACTGTGATGTGAGGAGTCCCTGCTGTGCAGGTACAAGGTGACACAGTCAATCTTCACCAGGATTCTAAAGTCCAAAGGTAAGGATCCTACTGATTTTCAACAAGTGGCAAACTTTCATCTCCCCCCACGCTGCTCTCAGGCCGTGGCACTACAGATCTCCTTACAGCAACTCTCTGAAGTGCCGAAGGGCACCACAGTCCCTGGTGCTCCTGCCCTTCGCTGTGCCATCAGCTGAGTCCTGAGCCTCTGCCACAGCCTTATCTTAGCAAACTCACCTGGATTAGGGACCTCATGTTGGCGAAGTGTGTGTCCATAGCTCCTCCATTGGGGAAGTTCTGGCTCATCCTCTTCATCAGGTGGCTGAAGCAGCTGTAGGCCAGCTGATCTGCAGGGACAGAGCAGACACTCAGTGCTGGTAACTGGGACTTCTTGAACCAGAATGACTAACTGCAGGGCCTGGGAGACACAGGCTCTTCCCTTCCTGCTCCTTAATCCCGGGATTTAGATGAAATAGAAGATTGTACCTGACCATTTTCACTAGCCCTGTTTCAGAGAATCCAACCTGCAGTTGACTTCTCAGCTTCAGCACCTTCCAGAACACAGTGATCTTACTGAACTTAGCAAAGGGAGCCTGGAAGTCAGTTGAGGGAACACGGTGACCCCAAGACACTGATGTCAGCCACCTCAACAGCAGCCACAGGCAGAGAAAGCACAAAGCAGGAGCTGCAGGTTTGCTTCTCCTGGTGACCCAGCCCTGGTTAATGCAGACAACCCCCTCTGAAACTGCATTTCTAAGGATACCAATGTGTCCCAAAGGAAAACCCTTCCTACCATTGTCAAGTATAACCATCAAAGGAGCCAGGAGGTCACACATGCCTTGGACATAACCAACTTCTAGGTGCTCCCAGACATAGCTGTGGAAAGAAGAAATCCTTTCATTGACATCTGATGCTGTATGTGAGACCAAATCCTGAGCTGCTGAACACGAGTCTCAGAGCTTTGTGACACTTCCCATCCCAGAGTATGTCACAGCCTTTTGCTGCCTGCAGAGAGGCCGACCCCCCACGGCTGGTTGATTTGGCTCTCTTGTCTTCCCAGCACACACCTCAGCACTGCATCTGGGCACAGGTACAGACTCTTATTTGCACATTATCATAGTTATAGATGAGTTTATGGATTGTGACAGAAATGTGGAATTGGTTGGGTTTACAACTCATTACCTGCACATGACATTCCGGAGCTTCTCCAGGTTCTCAGCAGTAAAATACCAGTAATTCCTGTCACACCTCTGCACATCCTTATCAATTCTGTGCAAGTTTAAGGCAACAGTGTCCAATAACTCTATCTAGAAGAGAAAGTTTTAGTTAGATCTGCTGAGCTGAGAGCATTCCCAGGACTTTGTCCAGATTTGCTCCGAGAAGCAACAAACCAGAAACAGTACAATTATACTCTGGGCAGATGAGGGCATGGAAACACTTGATGATGGTCAAAACTGCCAGGTAAAACACTGGGGAATGTGCCAAGCCTGTCCTATTTCCAAATGGTTATTTCCAGCTGAACAACTTCAGCAGAGAGGCAAGAACTGAGCTGCTTATCTGTTGACAGCAACAGTAATAGAGGTGGTGGCATCTCGGGTCTAGATTTGGGCTGTGGTTCAGTTTGATTAACTGTGGCGTTTAGTCTGCATGAAATGACACTGGAATCTTGTCCACTGTCCACACCCCTCAGCCCCTGCAAAGTTTTAACAGGTAGAAATGTACCACATTGTCTGCCTTGCCCTCCCACTCAGAAGATCCAAATTTTTTCTTGCTGTCTTATTTCCAATCTAGCTCAAAATCCAGATGAACAGATTTGGATCCAAAAATCCTCAGTTATCATCCCACCAGCTGTGGCTCTGGTTTGGGATTGCCTCTCATTAAATCCTACCTGAAAAAGTACAAGTTTTTACTAAAAGAGCAAGTGCACAGAGATGTTGGTACTGCTGTTGTGACCTACTGTGTAGGATGCAGCGCAGACAGAAGCCACATCCATTAAATAATCCATCTGGGAACAGAGCTGCTCTTCTGAGACAGAGTCCTGCGACTGCAGCACCACTGCTTTGGCTCTCTGCACTCGTGGTGTGCCTGGCTCAGTCCTGCCCAGCTCGGCGCCGCCTTCCTCTTCGGCGCCGTCCTCGAAGGAGCCGCCGTGCCCATCGTCGATGCTGGACAGGATGCCCGAGGCCACCGAGTAGTTCCTGGAGGATGGCAGCCCTGAGTCGGGGGAGTCGAACTCTGCGGCCGCTGCCGCTGGCGCCGTGAGCGCAGGGTCGTCGTGCCCCTTGCAGTCCTGCTCTGCAGAGTCTGTCTCATCCACAGAGATGAACACCTGGGGCACGCAGAAACACAAATATCTTTAATAGTAACGACTCTTGGCTCTGTGCAGGACTTGACTAAAAGGCCTACAAGGAGGAGATCTGGAGAGCTGTTCCTCTGCAGAGAGGGGATCTTGCTTAGCAGGTGAACCTTAGAGCCCCTTAGGCAGGTCCCACACCACCCAGAATTCAGACCTGCTCCACACTCTATCATGAGGCACTACAGCTGCTGTCTGTGCCCAGGGTTCAGGTACCTCCAGGCCGGGGGAGCTGCGCTAAGCTCTGTCTGTACCCCAGGGAGTGTGCCAGGTGGGTGTGGGAGGGGAGTACCCACATCGTTGCTGATGGTGGAGTCCCTGTGGATGAGCCGCTGGACATGGCTGTCGATGCTGCTGCCCGAAGAGAACTTGGCCAGCGAGGCTGAGTGAGACTCCTTCTCCCGCTGCTTCACGACGACCTCGCAGGCTTTCCACTCAGCCATCACCTTCTGGTACCGCAGCGCAATGTCGGCGTCCACCTGGGCACAGAGACACGTCCCAGACACCACTCCCCTCGAGAGAGGAGCGAGCAGGGACAGGTCTGAGGTGAGGGTGGTGTCTGAAAGGATCCAAAGCCTTCGAGCTGCAGCACTGCCTTGCGGCCGGAGAGTGCCATGACGGGAGCAGTCGAGGGCTGGGTGTGAGCTGCAGGGAAGGAACTACCACTGCAGCACCACGAAAGATTCATATAAGCATGTGTGTACATTATCAACAGCACTGTGACACCGGCAGTGACACAGGACAGCGCAGGAGGTGTCCCTGCTTTCACCTCCCATAGGAGTCAGACACAGTCTGATAGAACAAGTGCCGCCAACTGCACGATCCTGTCCAACTCCTTCTCTGCTCCAACTCTAACGTAGCCCTTGCAGTGAGTTCCAGGTGACAGGTTCATAGACATCAGCCTGCACAGAGCCAGATCCTGGAGGAGACTCAGGAATCCCAGCCCACACCACCCCGTGCTGTGGCTGCACCACGCGTGGCCAGATCCACCCACACTGGTCTCCACAATAATGACACACATCTTTGCCACTAGTGGCTTTCTCTGTTGAAAGACAGACACAGAAACCCCTTGAGCTATTAAGGGACATGTAGTAATTCTGGCACTGTCACTTGTCAGGAGCTGACGAGGAGCTGTTGTGAGCTGGCTCCAGGCTCCGGACTGTGCCGGCTGAGCTGCCACCCGAGCCCCACGCTGAGAGCTGCAGGCTCTCTGTCACCCGAGGTAGCTGTCGAGTCATAAATCATAAAACACAACCGTTCTGGAGGGCTAGAGGACAGCCCCAGATACTGATGGATGACTGCAAAAATACCATCAGAAGGCGAAGATGATGAATTGCCTGCGATGACTTCAGCTAAGGACGCGATGAGTTTCCTGTGCCTGCAGCTGCTATGACTTCTCATGTCGTTCATTTCATACACTCTCACATTCAGTGTAAGCTTCAGTCTCCAACAGCCCATTCCTTGAGGAGCTGGTTATTACTGTTGCTTACTACTGGTGTTGAGTAGCTCATCAGAATTCCAGCTAAGTTTGGAAGTGAGGAATTGCATCTTCTTCTGATGCTAATGGGAGGGCAGGAATTTGTCTCAGCAGTGCTCAGCTCAGCAGAACATTCTTATTGTACACACTACAGCCAGAAAATCTAGCTAAAAACACTTACAAAGGTGGCTGCATTCAGGGGGAGAGTCTGGACTGTGACCCAGTTTGAACAGAGAAGGGGTCTGTTTCTCCCTCTGTGCTCAGAACTGCTTTATGAAGATTAGTGGGAGGAAAACCAACTCAAATTGCCATAGCCATGTTTAGTAAGAAGAGCTCTGCTTATAAAGTGTCCTGTTTGTGAGACAGCTGATTTGTCCACAGCAAGGCTCGAGGTCAGGCTGCCCTTCTGCTCTGCAGGTGCTCACGGGGATATAAACTACTCCTTGGCATATAAAATAATTGGGAGATAGCAAATGCCAAATGTTTTGATATATAAACCACTCCTTATCAATTTAATCCAGAACAAGATCAGCTACTGCATGAGTGCTACCTCCCTGGTAATAACACTGACTGAAAAGCAGATTAATGTGTTAATTATATTCCAGGGCAAACCTCATTACTGTTCTCTCCAGTTCAGCCAACACCTGGGTGATGTCAGGAAAACACAATGTTTTACCACCATAAAATCCAGCACTTCCCCACAGGGCAGGGTCCTGCTGCAGTCCTGTGGCTCTGGAGAAAGCGACAACCTGGGCAGTTAGTCATGATCTGTGTTAGCAGGAGCACAGGAGGTATTAGGAACAAGAATGTCTCATCTGAAGTCACACCTTGTGTTTTACAGGGGCACCTCTTACTCAAGTCTAACCAGAAAGCATAATGAACCTACAAACCAAACCTTTCTCTGCTGTTTTGGGGCTCTAGATTAACTGCAGAGGGTCCATCTGGGCTGTTCCCAGCTCCAGCAGAAGTCCACACAGGCAGATGCAGTTTCATGCAGATAAAGTAGTTATTTCAAGCAGCAGTTTGAAGTATAACTCAGCTAACACACCATGTAAAAGAGGGATGAGTCAAATTCCTGTCCAAATGTCAACGTCTCCCTATTTTGTAAGTGACAGGTCTGTGAACACAGGATGTGCTCAGGCAGAGCTGAGTGCAGGTTCCCTGACTCGGGTAAAGAACTCCCTTGTCATGGCTTTCAGACATAACAACATGGTATCACAATCCTTCAGCTAACATGCACTGCTCATTTTCAGTAGCATTCTTCCCTTGAGAGTACTGAACAATAACAAAGACCAACACTTGCTGATCAGAAATAAAACCTGCCCTGCAAACCCGACTCAGATTCCCAGGACTCTGTGCTTACCTGGTCCATCTCCTTCTTGGCCATGCCGAATTTGTAGTGACCTAAGAGGAAGGGCCACACTTCCTTCCGGATCTCGTGCTGCACCCCACCATAGTACACCCGTCGCAGCAGTTCCAGCTCCTTGTAGTTCTGCAGCAGACAGAGAGAGCTGCTGAAGGCAGCACATCTGCACCGTCCTTGGGCACCTTTGTGGGCACACCGAGTGCAGGCAGGGAAACACGTGCAGGGCACTAGATCAGGTTTGCTGCTCGACTGCAGCCTGCAGGGCCTTAGCTCAATCCAGACCAACACAGCCTGTCACGTCTCCCATGAAGATAATCTAACCTGGGACAGACTAGTGATCATGAGATCAGCTGCTCTGATGGCACCATCAGAGGAGCAAAGGAGAGGCTGTAAGGATCGACCCTTCCCCCAGTTCCAAGGGGTTCCGTGCCTGGCGCAGCTCTGAGTAAAGGTGTTTGCTACTGACCTTCCTGTCCTTCTGGTACTTGCTCCAGACCTCGGTGGTGAGGCCGGCGCTGCAGGGCCTGTCGGGGGGCACGATGCTGTGGTTCACCAGCGCGGACAGGTGTGTGCGCACCGTGCACAGGTGGCGGCAGTAGGCCAGCCCTGGGTGGGGAGTGGGCACAGGTGAGCAGTGCCACAGCCCCCTGGAGCTCTGGCACTCAAACCTGCTGCTGCATCCTCTATGAACTGAACACACACTGGGAGACAATGATCTTACACAGACTAGTAAAATCCAAGTAGTGTGTTATGCTGCCACGTAAAACCACACTGTCTTCACGAGGCATCACTTCACCCGTTGCCATCTGCAAACCCCACAGAATGATGAAGCTCTGACACTGGAGTCACATCCACCCTCGTGCCCTGAGGTTTCTGATGCACAGCAATAACTCTGGGGTCAGGCTCTTTCTAAAACAAACAGCCCCTGTTGTTTAGAGAAGCATATGGATGCCACATGGGCCGGATATAAGAAGTTTCACTTACATCCATAAAAGGCTCTGGAAATGATCTGCCTCTTCATGCTTTCACACAACATCTTTAGTGGAGTTCTGTGGAGAGGCATCAACAGGACAACAACAGGTTGTGAGGACAGGGAGCATCAGGAATTTCATGCTGACACCATGACCTACACATAGCAATTCTCTCTCTGCACCAAGATTTGTTTAGTCAAAGGACACAATAATAACAAATTACACTTCTTAAGGCATTTTTCCCACCAACATTTTTGCCCCAAACAGATTCTCTGGCATACACAGCCACTCTGTGAAGGTCTGTGTCAAACGAGATGAACTGCTGCCCTTCACTGCCACTGTCAGAGACAATGTTTCCAGAGCTGAAGTGTATCACACTAGACAAAAGAATCAGATGCAATTTTTCTATCAAAATGTGACTTGAGTAGGTTAGTAGGTTAGTTTTAATAAACTGAATTTCTTGCTGTCTAACTTCCTCTTTTTATGTTAGAAACTACTTGAAAACTGTTACTCTGTCTCAGGTGCTGCAACACTGAAACCTTCCTGCTTTTACCTGTGGCCTGCACACAGCCCCTGGGTAAGCTCTGCACAGCTTGCTCACCGGTCGTGGATGCAGTTGCAGCAGGTGGGAATGTCATAGGGAGAGCTGCCCGTGGAACAGGAGAGGCAGGAGGAGCCCTGGCTGCAGTGCTCCAGCTGCCAGGAGAGCAGGTTTGCCCCAAAGCCTTGCATCTCTATCATCTCGCTGGTGTCTGTGGAAAAACCAAACAAGACAGTAGGACATCAGCCTCCTCCCTTCTTTCCCCTTCTGTGCATCCTGATGGTTCATGCTTTGCTTCTCAGCACCTTGATTCCAGAGAGGGGAGAGCAGCATCCTCAGAAACACTGCCCTGGGCACACCTGAACCTGCTGTGTGCTGGGCAGGGTCCCCTCCCAGGAAGCCAAATCCCTTCACCATTTCCCCCTCTCTTGCCCATGCACATCCCAGTCCGTGTTTCAAGAGAACTGAGACAAAGGTGCTGCAGTAACAGCTACACAGGTTCTTGTGTAACACTATGGAAATGCTATTTATGGCCAGAGGAGATCATCTAGCCCAGCCTATTTAACTCAGGCCTCAGAATTCCATTCTGCAGTTCCTGGAATGGGCCATGGAACTGCTGGTCCAGCTAAACTCAAAGGTGAAAGCTGGAGCACGAAAGACATTAAGACAAACTGAGTCAGTTACTCTTGGAAGATGCTTCTTTCCCCCTCAGAACCAGACCCTAAAATATTCAGCACCAAAGGACAGTTCCAGTCCTGCAAATGCCCACACTAAAAGGACACTGCAGGAATTTGTGATCCAACAGTACAATGCAGCTTCCTGAGTTATCCCTGCTCCACCAAATCCATCTGCCTTTTTAGCCAGCTTCAGGAAGGCAACCCAAGAGGTCAGCAGTTCCCTTCCTAAAGCTTGGCTTCAGCTCTTCAGCCTTCCCAGCTGGCACTGGAGCTGGGGGCTGGCTCATAATAAATAACTGGCCTTTCAGCTCACCCATGATTGAAATTAAGGCAAACACATTAGGGCTGCGAGTCACTAAGTTAGATCCAGTCCCCTGGGCCGTGCTTTCAGACAGACATTGGTTGGGGGTGGTGGGGGCAATTCCAAACCATCTCATGCATTGTAAGTCGAGGCAGCACAAAGCACTGTGGGAGTGGCTGGTGGAAGGTGGGCAGAGGTGAGGCAGGAGTGAGGCAGAACCGTTTGTTAACAGAGGAAGCACAGGCTCATGCGGAAGCAGAAATGTGTGTTTCACTTCACAGAACAAAGTGTGATGCAAAAAATGCTCTTCACCTTAATTCTTCAGGAAGGAGCTGAATGACCCAGTATTTATTGCAGCTTCTTATTGGGTTCAAATAAAAAATCACTGGAAAACATTTTAGATCATTATTTTTGCCTCCCCTCTACAGACAGGAAAAGTGGGTTATTCGCTTTGAATTTGTATTCATTTTTTAGAGAAACAAGGAAAGAACCCCACAGAACCTAAGGATTCAGATGAAAGGTACCTGAATTAGTGAAGAATTAGAGTGAACAGCATCTTGTACTTAATTGTGGTGGTGTTATCTGTAACTTCAGCTACATGCAAAAGTCGAGCATGTTGCAAAATGTTTAAGCAAATGGGCAGCAAACCTGCTACAACAGTGTTGTCATTACGGACCCGAGCGGCCAGGCCAGGCCGGGCCAGCACACACAGCCCTGACTACCATCCCCTGCAAGCCTCAGTAAGCAAGAGCAGAGCCCTGACAGCCCTTCTAGGGGGAGAACTTACAGTTTCCATCAACTGACTTGGGACTAAATTGTGTTCCTTAAGCCTTAGACCACAGTGTTGGCCTCTTAACGTGTATGTGGCAGAGTCAGATGTTCTTCCCACCACCACCCAAGTCTAGGCACGATCAGTTAGGACACACTGAAGCTTCCTAAAACAGCATCTTTTTTCAAGGCAAACACTGCATTTTTGGAACTTCTTTCCATCCATGCCTTCCAAGAGCTCTTTATTAACTTGGGCTGGGCTTTTCAGTTTCCAGGGGCTGCTCCCTTGGGATAAGTGTGTGGGCAGCCTAGAAGAATTGGGGAGGATCTCCTTCAACACCTGTTCATGCCCCATCTAGCCAGAACTTCAGCTCTGTACAGAGATGCAGGGCAATCATTGTCTCCTGCAGTCAGTCCCACCAGCCCAGGGCCAACATTCACCTGGAACCAAAATCACTGCTCTGCTATGTAAAGGTGCCAGAGAAAGCAAGGACTGCTTGCAACTACACCGCTGGATCCTGGATGCACCCACTTCTTGAGAATACCAACTTAAATCATCTGTTATGAAGTGTTTCTCAAAAAAAAATAGATGACAAATTTGTGGAGGGTGGAGCAGAGTCTCAGCTGTCCCTCTGAAGCCCACCCAGCCTATGGGTGCAAGTGGAATGAAAGGACAACCACAGAAAGGCACTGCATGTCCCTACAGCCTTCTCTGCACACCTCTGCTGCCAGACAGAGGCATCCAGAGTGCAGCAGCATGCACCCCAAACCATCCCTGGGCTCAGGCTCTCCCTCACCTCATTGCTGCCCTACCCTGCACAGGCACACTCCATTCCTGACTGGGCCCAGCACAGCACTGCTGTTGCTGCAAGGGTTCTGCCTGGATCCTCTGATCCAAGGCCTCCCTCCCCACTCTGTCATGCTGTGCATGACCAACTCATGAAGGGAGAACAGACACCTGTTATTCTCCCTCTGTCTCTCCTGAGAACCTGCTCTAGTATCCAGTCTTTATGGAGGTGGGACAGGAAGCCTCTGGAAGGAGAGGAGGTCTGCCTGCTCAGTAGCACACTCACAGGAGAGGGAAGGTGCTGCTCCCACTCCCCACAGGCTGTGAGCTCGTTCCCAGCCTATCTGCACAGGCACCTCCGTCTCCAGATCTCATGGAAATGTTCTCCCCTGTAATAATGCCAACACTGTTGTATGCATCAGTGGAAGGAGCTGCAAGAGAGCTCTGGGACACAGGGGGAGGAGGATAAAAACCTTTCATCCTATTAGGAGCTGTGAGGTTCCGAGAGCAGATCATTGATAGCATTGCGTGTAGCTTATCTTCCTCCTCCTCATCATCGTCAACAGAGGTAGAGCGGCTGGCAGCTAAGTGGTGGTAGTTAATAGTTACTGCTCAAAGAAAATAGTGAAAGAGGAGCATAAGAATAGAGAACTCGATTCTGTGGGAAAGCTCAAAAGGACATGGTCAGCAAAGACAAAGGACCTGAATCCTGCCCCCTGCTCGAGGGCACCAGCTCCTGCAAATGGGTATGAAAAATGAGTTTCTTACAGAAAAAAGCATGTTCCACCAACCTCAGGCAGCCCTTGAGTGTGCACAGCCTGTGAGGGCACACGTCACACTGGCAAGGGACAAAAGCTCCCAGTGCCAGCCTGCAGCAGCTGAGTGTGCTTTTCAGCACTGCTCCACGGCAGTTCTAGGCTCCAGCTAGTGTCTGTCCTCACCGTGCCCTTAGCAGAGCCGTGGCCTCTTCTCTGCACCCTGTGCCAGATGTTTCTGGACAGCCAACCTGCTCTCCCCAGCCCTGTCTGGCCCTGCAGGCACAGGGGGATGACCTCCTCCCGTGGGTGCCCCTGGCAGACACCAGCTCCTCCTCCTGGCACAGGCCCACGGGTCTGGTGTGCCCCTGCGCTCAGCGACGGCAGCACACACTTGCTGGAGTGTGCATGGACTCAGCTGTGCCAGCCCAACACAGCCTGGACACCACCATGGTCCATGCCTGGGGTAAGGAGGGTGCAGAGGAGATTTCTGCTCTTCCAGCTGCAGTAACTCCAAATCCCCTGGAACTTTTAGGGTCTGATCTTCCCAGGAAATTCTTGCCTCTTTGCCATGGGGAATAAAACTGAACATGCTGTTTGAAAACTAGCTCAAGTGCCTTCTTACATGTAAGGAATTTGTGTTCACTGATGACATGAGGTGGTTTGGTGCTTGGGAATTCATTTAGTTTCCTTGGAAGGGCCTTTATTTATCCATTGTTAAGTTCTTGCTTCCAAGCCAGGAAAATTTAGCCCAGGGAGTTCTTAAGGTACTTAAGGAGTTGAGTTTATGAGGTTTTTCTTCCTAATAACAACATTATGGGCAAGCAGTGTGGCCAGTAAAAATATCCTCACTTCAGGAGCAAAACTGCTCTTGGCTAGTCAAGCAATCTTTTTGGTTTTAGTCTCAGTTTGCAAGCCCAGGGGAGTATTTTGAAACCTTCCTCTGCAAAACACAGAGTAAATATAAATAAGATTCCCCATCTTGACTCCATTCCCAGTCAGATAAGAAGTCTCACCGCATCAAGGAAACCTAAGCTGTACCTCTTGATCACAATTATCTCTCAGTGAAATTTTGTGAGAGGATTTTCCCCCCACAAAAACGTGTCTTGCCTGTTACCTCAGGTACTTCCCAGGATATTAGAAAGTTTTCTTAGGTGTTTGGTTTTTTCTAAACAAAGCAGAGCAAGGTACTTACTGTTGTCATGCCTGTGCCCGGGATAGATGATTCTGAACACGTAGTCTGTGGATGTGTCCTCTGCTGGCATCTCCTCCATGTCCACTGATTTGTTGCTGTTCCGTTTGCGAAGCTTTGGGAATACCTTCCCCTGGAGAAAAGAGTAATTCCATACATTCAGCTACGAGTGACTAACAGAGTCCAACAAACAAGTATTGCAGACCTTTGGTATCTTAAATCTTCAAACCTTTCAATGCTGGGAGGAGGTGAGGGAGAGAATAGTTAAGTCAAACACAGCAGGTAGTTTAGGGCTGCTTAACACTCCTTTTCTCTGTACTATAAAACTGCCTTTTCCTGTAACCCAGGGGAGCTGGGCACCAGCTGCCTCAGACATCCCAGCCCGTCCGAGTCCATTTGGGTTGGTACCTGGCTACAACAGCAGATTCCAGCTCACTGCTCAATGGGGTAATGAGGGTATGAACAGTTTTTATAGACTAGCTGTGTAAGAACCAAATTGGACTAAATGGAGCCATTTTGCCTTTCACTTAACTACAGAGCAGCTGGAAATCACTGCCCAGACCCTGTGGAGCAGAGACATCAGGACCAGCCCCACCGCTAAGACAGCTCACCAGAAAGGCAGTACCTTGCCCTGCTGGGACCACAGTGGTGGCTCCAGCTGACCACGAGGCAGGAGACCGTTCTCCAGACAGGACAGGAAGGCGAGGAGGTGCCCTCCTTGGGGGAAGTGCAGCGGAGGCCTCTGAGTTCCATCCTGACTCACCAAGACTAATGTCCATCTGCTTTCTGCTGCAAAGGAGGACAAGGAGAGTCCACACTGTTACATCAGAACCTCCATTTTCTGTTCTTACCTTCCAAGTAAATTTTATTTGTGATCATCTCCAAGTAGATAAATAAACCTCTGCGAGACACAGTGTGGTCTAGGGACAATCTCAGCCCTTTAGTCCTAGTGAAGCTCAAGGTACAAGCAAACTCTGGCAGGCCTCATGCAGCTGTCATCCCCTATCAGCTGGGACTGCAGATTTTAACACTCATCCCCACGTGTCCACAGTTAGCCAGAGGTGTTCCTGGTGCTGAGGGAGGAAGAGCAATCGCTCGAGTGACTCTCCTGCTTATGTGTTTTAAAGTAATAGAGATAAACTGCCTTCTAAAACAGGCTTAGTTCAAAAGGTCCTTCGGTCCAACTGTAACTCAAATCTGACTCCAAATAGAATTTTTAAATGCTCTGTGCCTGTGCTCTGTGATTCTCACTTGAGGCCTGTGGTCAGGAAAGGAGTGGGAGAGGTGTTTTGCTGCAGATTGTCCCTGCTGTGGGAGGGCCCCAGGAGAGGGTTATGCTTACGTTGCTGATGGCAGTGGATGCAGACGATCTGGCTCAGTGGCACTATCAGTGCATAGTCCCAGTAAACACTAAGGGAAGGAAAGTGCAGGAAACACTGTTTTTTCCATGTTCAGGAATTGCTTGCAGTCCCAAACCCCTGATAGAAACACTCTGCTAAGTTAATAACTACTTATTACGTTTGGTCAATTAAAGTAAATCAATAGTCAAGTAAAAGGCAAAGGCAAACTAGTCTTTCACAGCAGATACTCTGCACCAGGTTTCTATAACCTCCACGTCCCTCTTGCCCTCCCCTTCCCACTGCCCCCAGCAGGTCACACAGTGCCCTGGCTCAGACCCTGTGCCCAGGACAGAGTGTGATGTGCTGCTGGGTGGGTGTCAGGGCACCAGCTCAGTCCTGTCCTGCACATGTGATCTATGGGCAGCACCATGTACATCCACTGGGGCTCAAGCTTATTGGACTCAACCCTGGAGACAGCTCCAAACCCTCCTGAGAACAACCTCGACGGTTTAGCAAGGGCAGAGAGCTTCATTCATGTGCTATGGAAAACACACGTGAAGTCTGAGAGAAGGAATGGTGTGGACTAAGCCCCTGAGAGCACAGCTCTGGGGCTGACAGAAGCACTCCCTGAGCAGACACCTGCCTGGGTCAGGACTTTACCTGCCTCCCTACTGAAGCAGATTGCCGAGTTTGGTGAATAACTGATCTAACAAAAGACAATGATGCTGCTGGTCTCCTTTGAGGCTGAGATCAGCCACATGTGCCAAGTGATTTGGGACCCTCTGAAGGGAGGTACTAGGATTGTAACGATGGAAGGTTGTGTTGAGCCTCTTGTCCTGGGCACCTGGAAGACCAAGATTTTGTTTTCCTTTAGAAAAGGTCTTATATCCAAGTGCATTACAGGACCCTTGGAAAGTTGCTTATCTATGGCAAAAGAGGAATAGGACCCAAGCTGTCCAACACTTCAACTCAGGCACTATGCAGAAGTCCTTCCATTAAATCAGCCTTGTTACACTTATGCCATGGAGCCAAGTATATAAACACCACAAAAGCTTCCTACCTTCCCTGTGAATGCAATTATTACCTTTTCTCCAGCTCCGAATCTCCAAGGGTTCCATTCATCAGCTGATTCGGAGTCCACTTTAATGTCAAATTATCTGCTGACTGATGAAGGGAGAGATACCCAGGAATTGCCTCCAAGTCATCTTTCTGTTCACAGGAGAAACAAACAGGCAATCCAGGTGACTCAGTGCACAAAACATCTGCATAAAATAATATTCCAGTCTCCCTATGCCCCGTAAGTCCCAGAGCTGCATTATCTGGGAACTGCTGAGGGAATCGTTAACAGCAAAAGTACTGACATTTCTCCTGGGAAGAGGGGAAAACCCCCAATATTCACTGGGCTTATGAAGTACAGCCCAGTCTGGCTGTTCCTGCCTACAGGAACACTTCACGTTCACAGTGCTGAGGCAGCGAAGGCATTTGTCACATCTCATCTGCCTCAGCAGAGCAGGAAGGCAGCACTGTCCACAGCAGGTCCCCCCTCACCCCACTCACCGGCTGCACCAGCACGTTGTTCTTGCCGTACAGCAGGTGTGTCCTGGAGTTCTGGTGCAGACTCTCCACGTACTCCCGCGCCGATGCGGCGAACCGATCCTCGGACGTGCTCCCGCTGGAATGGCGCTTCCGGATCTGGGCACACAGACACAGCCAGGTCAGGACCACAGCAATGCAGCACCAGTCTCTATGGACTGAACTACCTGTGGAGCCAGAAGACCCCAGAGAAGTCACCTGGACTCCAACTCCCCCCCGACCATGGCAGTTCAGTGTTTCTTGTGAACTACCTGGTCAGATCACCATCGTCAAAAGCCACAGAATTTAGTGCTGGATCTCAAACTTTCCTACACACAGATAGAGAGGGGCCCAAATGGACTTCTGATCTGTGACAAAGCCTCTGTTACACAAGAGAACAGAAAAGCTGTTCCAGACTCAGACCTCTTCTCGTGGGGTTGTTTTTAGTATCAGTCTGTGCCTTAGCTCAGAAACAGCCACCCAGTAAATACCTACTCCCAGGGCTGGGCGCTTGGAGGGAGAGTCTTGCCGGCCGTGCGCGCCATGGATCCGGTGCCGCTGTACCAGCTCGTCCGCCGAAGGGTCTGTCCAGTAGTGGTCAGCTGTCTTTAGCTTGGTGTACTCCAGAGCACATGGTCCAACTAGGAAAACAGCCCAAGAGACAACTTTCTGAGTCTGCTCAGAAACTTGCTCAGTCCTGTCCTGCTGGCTCCGTACTGAAGGTGAGATTTCCCTCTCAAGCCAAGTGACTATCAATGATCACAATCCCCAAGGCTCAGCCCAGAACACACACACATAACAACGTATCAGGCCCTAGCACCTAGGGCTGTATCCAAGTATTCCTGCAGGACACAGCAGCATCAGCAGTTACGATGTGCCAGCAAGCATCCACTAAAAGCCATTCCCATTGTTTTCTGACCCAACCAATAACTACAATAAAACCAGATGATCAATCCCAACTGGTCTTGTAAGCAACAAAACACCTGCTGTGTTGCTCTGTCATAAACAGTCAAACTACATGCAAGAGATAAGAATCTCCTCTTGTAACACTGTCACATTACAAACGGTTTAAGAAACAACTTATTTTCTTCAGCATAGGAAATAACTTTGCGAGAACTCACCCAGCAGAGAAGCCAATATTGGGCCACAAACAGGATCTGCCAGTAAAGCTTCTTTCTCATAATATTTACTAGGAATAAAAGATGAGAGCCCAGTTAAAAACACTGGTTGGTATTTTTAAAAGCTCTTATGCATCCTGTAGCACGAGTCCACTGACTTGAAAAATATCAGATATTACTGCCTACCAGAAAGCCAAAGGGAGCAGAGAGCTGCTCCAGGTAAGTTACCTCCTCTCAGTATGCTGATTCTGCCTCATCTATTTTTCAACTGAGCTCAGGAGAGGCAGGAGCTTGCCTTGAGCTCCATGTGTTTACCTAGTATATTTGATCTGGGGCTTTGGGCACTATTGCAATATGGAGACAAACAATAACTCTCTGCAAGCAATTTTGTCCATTTTCCACAGAGACAAGACAATCCACACATCCTCAAACATCTCTTCCATCTGTGAGGAATCATCTTGCAACACTGTCAAGAACAATGCACTACTACAAATAGTGGCTCCTGCAATGACCCCCAAGCCTTGCCCTTACAGCAGGCACAGCTGACTTACAAAGCCACAGAGGCAAACCCCAAGTCCCCACATCCCCTGAACGGCCACTATCCTCTGCGCTCTGTTCCACTAGATGGGGCTCAGGCTCTGAACCACCTGCTCCTCCTGCAGGACGTGAGGAGCAGCAATGCCACACAAATGCTTGGCAACAAGCCTTGCGAAGAGGTTCGGTTTATTCACCAAGTCAGGTTCTCGAGATCACACTCCTGCGATTACAGACCTGATCCTAACTCATCTGCCCCACAGGGAAGGCAGTAAGGTGAACATCTACAACAGGCAGTAAGGGAGTTGAGAACAAACTCTCTTGATGTGTCTCCTGGTGGATTATGTGGAGAAGAAATTAATAACCCTTGTACTCATGCATCAGCAGCATTGAGACAGTGGACTGAAGAGCTTTCATTAACTGTCTCTGGGGCACAGCCAGCCCTCCCTGTCTCTTCTGCACACAGCTCATACACCAAGATGCATTACACATCCCACAGCAACAGTTTGCTCGAACAGCACCAGGACCTTTCTTCCATTCTCTTGCTTTGTAGGGGCCAGATACATCATGAAAATAAAGTGATGACAAGGAAAACAGCAATTCAAACTTGGAAAATACTGTGAAAATGAGTTGCTCTGCCCCAGCTCTTGTCCTTGTCCAGACCCATGGGCTTTGGATGGACAGAGTGTGTCCCTGAAAGCGGAACAACAAGAGCACCCTGCAAACAAACTGCAATGGCAATGGGTACAGATGTACCTTTCTGGGACCACATCAAGCTTTAGGGTCCCTACCTTTCTCTTTATGGGAAACTCTCCCCAGTGTGCCCCGTAAGTCTTCTATAGCATTGGTTATGGGGGGGCAGGAAGGGTAAGAGCTAGCACTTGGGAAACCACTGCCTAAATGCATCACTCCAACAAACCTCTGTGCTTCTGCTTCTTTCCTTACCTGCAGTTATCCACAATGTACTGCACAATCTTGTCGAGCACCTTCTCAATCAAGGCTGTCCGAACCCAGATGTGTTTGATGGCCTGAGGTGTCAGGACAGGTGTTTTGCTTGTGGTTGATCCTTGTCTCTTCAGGGGTTCCTGTCCATTTGGCTGATTTTTCCTGCAAAAGGTAATAAAGTAAAAGTAGTCAGAACTGAGACTGTTCTTCCCACAGTCACCCACCAAAAATATCTTTTCCACTTCTGCAGCTTCAGGAAAAGCTCAGCACTTGAGCTCCTCCGAAACTGCCACGCACTGGGCTGAGATGAACAGGCTGTAAACCCACTGCAGACCATCACCCCAGAAGAATGAAAAAAGCCATGAAATGCAAAGCGTAGCAGAAAATAAGTAGCACCCAAAGAACAGAAGGTTGCTTCTTATCGAACAGAGCTTCACACTTAGCTGGGAAAGGCACAGGGAATACTCTTGTCTCCTGGCTCTGTCTGGCAGCCTCAGGCTGAAGCCAGTCCCAGCCCCAGGAGGGCACACAGCTGCTTCAGCATGATGCATCCCCATGGAGACCAGAAGCATGGAGCAGGATCTGAGATAACACAGGCAGAGCTTTTCCAGGCACCTCCTGCCACATCCCTGGGCAAAGGCCCATCCCTCACTGAGGAGAGGAACCCTGAGAGCTTCAACAATCTGCCACAGACAGCCCATGTTCTCAAGCAATCCTGCTCATTGCCAGCACTCAGGTTCCCTTTCAGGAAACTGTGCAGCTACAAAGTGTAACTGCATTAGTTTGGGGCTGTTTTGGGCATATCTGTAATTCCTCTCTGTATTTACACGGTCCCTTGCCCTCCAGGAGGCCAGGACAACACCTCTACAAGGCAAAAGACATGAGACACCACTAACATCAGAGCAATTCCAGTATCTTTAATTGCATCCTAAAGAGGCTTTCTGAACTCACAGCCTCAGGAGCAGTTAGACTGCTGCAGCCCTTCTGTCTCATTTCATACACCCACTGAAGCGAGTCCACCCCTGCAGTATTTCCCAAGAGTCCCTTTGCTCTACAGCACTTAAATTTTGTGGCTGTTAATAGCTGAAAAACTCACAAAATTTGGCCAAGAGAAACCACAGAATTTAAGTTCATTTGCTGCTTTCTGTCAGAGGACACAGCCCAAGGTCTCTGGTGGTTAGAGAAGGGTTTGTGTGAGCTCTTAACCAGAGAGGCTGGTGAATGTTCAGTACAAAGGATCCTTCTTCCCAACATTTAAAAAGAAAAATTAAATCCTTACAGGAAGTTGATCAGAGGCTAAAAGTTCCTATGATATGCAAAGAGCTCTTAGGGCTCAGCAGTTCCTATGAATAGAAGAAAAATGCTCCTGTCCTGAGCCTACAGGACAAGACATTCCACAGGCTCATGCACTGTGATTCCATCAGCAGTGCCACATTGGAAAATTTAAATTGCACTACTCACCACCAGCAAGAACTTTAAGACTTTCAGTAACCTCAAGTCCTTGACTCCAGCACAAGTTCCGTTGTGCCCACGTCCAGCATGTACTTAACAGTTTTCCTACATCATCCTTCCTCCCATCACTCTTTGTATCCATTAACTATTTCTACCATGATACCCAGAAGTCTTCTGCCACTGGTTTGGCAGGAGCATGCCAAAACACCTTTTCCAGTAAGTCTGTTCTTCAGTTCCTCTTTCCACCCACTCCCTTCCCACCAACAGTCCAAGCTGGCCCACCAGACCCTGACTGTGAGCCCTCTCTGAAATCACCAGTAATCAGTCACTTCTGCTGCTCTGTGGGGGCTAGACATGCTGCTCTGGGATACTGAAAGCAAAATGAAGCAGCAAAGCCCCAGTTCCCCATCTCTATCCCTTTGCTCACCTCCAGCTTGGCCAAACACAAACATCTGTTATTGCTACAGGCACCAGTGAGACAGAGCTGCAACACATGGCCAGGACAGGGCCCACTGCCTTGCCCAAGCAGTCCATGCCCTCACCATACTGCACACACACACTGGATGGACTTGGCAGACAAACAGACCTCGGCCTCACCTGCTCTCGACCTGCTGCTGCAGCTCCTGCACTTTCTTGCACACGTCTCCAGCTATGGCACAGGTCTTGCCCACCTTGGTGAAGAGCGCGGCCACCTTGTCGGTGCGCAGGAAGCCCGCGGCCCTGCGCTTCAGCATGTGCAGCAGACAGGCTTCCACCACACCTGTGGGACAGGAGGGAGAAATCAGGGGTCCTGCTGGCCTTGAGCCTCCTCCCCGGCCAGCACCACCTGCTCACTGCCCCGGGCACCTGTGGGTCAAGGACAGAGCTGGGGGGAGACAGAGGACAGACAGGCAGGAACTCAAAATCAGGTGATGCAAGCATGTGTCTAAGCTGCAACGACAAGCACCTTGTCAGGTACAGGTAAAGGCAGTATACAAACGAACTGAAATCTCCCACTATTTTCACCCCACTTTTGACAGAACCACTCTGTAACATGCCCTGACAGCCCCCAGTGAAATGCTGCAAGACTGCCGTAGAGATTTATCCAGCTCTCACGTAACCTGCTGCAGGGAAGGGAAACAAGGGAAATACACATTAAAAAACCTAATAAACCAAAACAAAAAATAAGCCTTCCGTGTCTACCAGCTTTTCAAGTGAGACTGCAGATGACTCATACAGCCAGCACTGCCCATACAAGGGATGACAGAGCCAATCATTCACAGGGAAGGGGAGAGGAACAGCTGTGTGTGCCAGGTGTGTGCCTAGCGCAGCCCCCGGGGCAGGACAGCCCCCGCAGGGCTCTGGGTGCAGCTCTCACAGCTCTCACAGGGCTCTGGGTGCAGCTCTCACAGGGCTCTGGGTACAGCTCTCACAGCGCTCACAGGGCTCAGGGTGCAGCTCTCACAGCTCTCACAGGCTCTGGGTGCAGCTCTCACAGGGCTCTGGGTACAGCTCTCACAGCGCTCACAGGGCTCAGGGTGCAGCTCTCACAGCTCTCACAGGCTCTGGGTGCAGCTCTCACAGGGCTCTGGGTACAGCTCTCACAGCGCTCACAGGGCTCAGGGTGCAGCTCTCACAGCTCTCACAGGCTCTGGGTGCAGCTCTCACAGGGCTCAGGGTGAGTCTCTCACAGGCTGTGGGTGCAGCCCCCGCGGGGTGCCGGGGCCACCCGCACACGGCTCCTGGTGACAGCAGTATCCTGGCAGCAAACCACAGCCGCGGTCGCCAC